ACTCGACATTTACTATCATTTCGATGCAGGTCGAATCCCATCACGAACGCAACAACTGATTTGGCAATCACAACTGAATCGACTTAAACCTAAATAAAAACACTCCTCAACCTGCAGTTCGGCGAATTTTTTGACGTTTGCGATCATTTCGATGCATGTACAAATTTTCACCTAAACGCTAAATACCAAGCTGTGAAAAAGATAAAGATAAAATTCGCCCTACACCGGTGACATGCGACCTTTGATATTCACGGTGCTACTCTAACAAATGCTTAAAATGAGCGCCGATATTATCACAGTGCGACGTAGTTTGACCTTGACAACGTCGGAACCTAGTTTAAAGACATCCTACAATTCCTAGCGATATGACCTTCATTCTGACAACGATAACATTTTACAATTTTTTCCCTGGGCCTGTTGCGTAAATCGTTTGGTGACGTAGACGGATCATGTCGAGTTTGATTAACAACCCTAGATGACGAATTGACAAACGGGCGTCGATTTGCATTACCAAAGTATCTCTCTTCGGCTCACATTGAACTAGTGATCCGATTAGCGAATGATTTCAATTCGAACAGGCTTTGTGGCATTTGACCGAACGAAAAATGACTTCGAACAATTGGATTACACTTTGTTAAAGCAATTTCAATCACCTCACCTTCTGACATCGTCGATTTTAACGCAAACGCGATTGATATAGTGTGATCAACGTATTCCGAATAAGACTCATTCGGTTGTTGCGGTCGATCCAACTCGAATGATGTAATTTCTCGTCGCCTAATTGACGGAATAAATCTGTGTAATATCTCGTCATGTAAGACATTCCAGCGTACGTTACCCAATACTGCCTCTAAAAAGAGTTGAAACATCTGACCTTTGACCTTAGGGATGATAAGCTTGATGATCTCAGTGTGACAATTGGGAGAAATGTCAAATATTGGTTTAACGTTTTTAAGGAATGAAATTAATTCAAGTTCATCTGTACCGTCTACTGTATTCAATTTGTTAATTAATTCGATTACCACAATTTGATCTGTTTTGGAGAGTGTTTGATTGACATTGTATGCGTGAGCCTGTATGTGTGTGTGTCATGGTGTGTGTAGGTGTGATTGTCAGGTCGGGTGTGTGTGTGGGTGTGTTGTGACTGTGGAGGGTGAGTGGCAACACGGCGGCAATGGTTGTCAGTAGACAGCGCACCAGTTACAGCCGGAAGTGACGTGTATTGTGCACTCTCTCTCTCTCTCTCTCTCTCTCACACTCGTTCGAAGGTCGAATATCTATGTAACGTGAGCTAGTGGCATGACTATTTTGATTTGTATTCGGCGTACTTGATACTACTTCTGTCAATTTGTGGTTGTTTAAATCCAGTAAACAACAATTGGAATTTTGTCTAATTGGCGAAGGTTCGTCATCGTTTACGATCGGTAAACGACAATCGGAATTTTGTCTTCCTAAACTGACAACATTGTCATTTGGCGGAATTGATTCATGGTTTTGGTTGATCGTCGCATTTACATCGATTAATTGTTCTAAATTTCTTCTCGGCATTCGGTTAGGTCTATCATCCGCGGTCGTATTATACCACGGCCCAAATTGTCGCTGCATTTTCTTATTTAAATGAAGATTTTATTTTTGAATGTTCTGCTATCGAACTTGTAGATTTCAATTCAGTATTTTTTTCCATTTATACAGTGCCAAATTATAATTCAAGTAAATTGTTTTTGGACAAACTTGAAAAGCTACTTGTTAGTTTACAAAAAAAAGCCAAAAGGAAAAATGTTTTTATAACAGGGGATTTTAATATAAACATTTTAAAGGATGATGCAATCACAAGTAGGTTTAAGGAAATTGTTGAATGTAATGGTTTCTGTTTGCAGTTTAATGAGCCAACTAGAATAACTGCCAATTCATTTACTTGTATAGATAACATGATTACAAAAAAAATGTATAAAGTAGACCACAAATTGAATAATGATTTAGGTTTATCTGACCATAACGCCATATTCCTGAGCCTCCCTGGGCAATATAAGAATATATTGACTACTGGTAATAATAATAATACAAGTTCCTACACCAAAAGAATAATTTCAAATAGAAAAATTGATGAATTTTGTACATATTTAAACCAAAATATTAATTTTACATTTGATCCAGTCCTGAACCCAAATGAAAACTTTAGTAACTTTTTAAGTGATTTTCTTTTGACTTTTAATTCTATATTTCCTCCAAAGTTTCTTAAAAATAATAGTAATAATTCTAAAACCAAGTCTTTCTCTGTAAACTGGATTACTCAAGGTATAAAAATGTCAAGTAAAACAAAACGACAATTGCACATGCAAGCCAAGCTCAGTAATGACCAACAGTTTATTATATATGTTAAGCATTATAAAAACATATTTAACAAAGTTGTAAAAAAAGCAAAATTACTAGCGAATAGCAATTTTATAAAAACATCAGAAAACAAAACTAAGGCAGCTTGGCAAATTGTAAATCAAGAGCTTGGCAATACAAACCAAAAACCAAAAGAAAGAATAGTTTTGAAAGATACAAATGGTTATGAGCTTGGTAATCCTGGAAGTATTGCTAAAGTTTTTAACAATTTTTTTTCGAATACAGTAAGTAACTTAAATGTTCAAAAGGCTTCTGTTAATGGAGTCCATGCTTCAGTGAAACATATCTGTAATGATAATGGGATATCATTGTGCAGCCTCAGGCTAACTAATGTGGAGGAAATCAAAAAGATTGTTTTGTCACTAAAAAACAAATCATCCGTTGGCTGGGATGAGATCCCAATTAAATTGATAAAAGCCACTGTTAATATCATTGCTGAACCTTTATCTCAAATTATTAACCAGTGTTTAATACATGGAATTTTTCCGGATAAACTAAAACTTTCCTAAATCTCACCAATATTTAAAAAGGGCCTAAAATCGGATATTAACAATTACCGTCCAATTTCTGTATTGAGTAATTTTTCTAAAATATTTGAGAAGGTCATAAATTTGAGATTGGTTAGTTATTTTGAAAGCAATCATCTATTTTATAACAAACAATTTGGATTCAGGAAAAATTTAAGCACAGGTTCTGCACTAACACAGTTTATAAATGAGGTTACCCAGGCTTTGGACGGGTCTCAGGCTACAGCTGGTGTTTTCTGTGACCTGTCCAAAGCTTTTGACTGTGTTGATCACTCAGTCCTTCAGCTCAAGCTGAGTGATTATGGTATTAGGGGAAGTTGTCACTCTCTATTGAGTTCTTACCTTTCTAATAGAAAACAAAGAACTGTAATAACACTGGATAAGATCAAGTACTATTCGCCATGGGAAAACCTATCGGCAGGTGTGCCCCAAGGTTCAATCTTAGGTCCTCTATTCTTTCTAATTTACATTAATGACCTCCCTAAAGCTATTGATCAGGAACTAATTCTTTTTGCAGATGATACAACAGCCTTGATAAAAAATAATAGTACTTCTGAAATGCTATCTTCTCTTGAAAATGTGGTTCATGACATGGAAGGTTGGTTCTTGAACAATGGATTAAAACTTAATCTTGAAAAAACGCAAACAATAAAATTTTCTGTCAGAAACAATGGTAATAAAATTGAATCCCTTAAATTGGCAACGTCTCATAAATTTCTAGGTGTTTACATAGATGAATCACTTAAATGGGATGTACATCTGAATCAATTAAAAAGTAAACTTAGATCCATGTCAATTGTATTTCTGCACTTAAGGGACTGTGTTCCTAAAGAAACTCTGAAAATGGTTTATCATGCTTATGTAGAATCAGTATTGAGGTATGGTATAATCTTATGGGGTCAGGCTACCGGAGTCAAATCAATATTCAGGCTACAAAAACGCATTATCCGTATTATGACCAGCTCTCATCCACGTAGTTCATGCAAAAACCTTTTTCGAAATTTAAAAATCCACACCCTAACAGGACTGTACATCTTGGAATCACTAAACTACATTCATTCAGCTAAAAACGACCTCCCAGAATCAATTCAAATCAACCATAGATATAATACTCGAAATGAAAACATTTTTAGATTTCCAAGGCACCATTTGACCCTTTATGAAAAAAGTCCACTATATGCTGGGCTGAGGCTGTACAATGTGCTGCCTGCAAACTATAAATTGCTAAATGAAAATAATTTTAAAGATAAAATAGGTGAACTCTTAATTGACAGAGCCTTTTATTTAATTGCAGATTTTCACAATGCCCCTTTAGTTTAGAATAGTTTTATCATTCAATTTTGTTAATTTATATTATCATCTTGATTACTATTTTATTTTTTATATTCTGACAATTCGAACTCTGACAATGCACCTATTCTGTATGTAACACATGTAAAGAATGTTATGTGCAAATAAAATATGTCTATGTCTATGTCTATGTCTAGGTAAATATTTCAATTAACGATAATATATCTCTGTTTGACAAAAAACGACTATCTTACGACGAACAACGATTAACAGTGATTCACAACACGATACACAATAACAATGATGATGACAATAACAATAACAATATAATTTCTAACAATTTGAACAACTTCAGTGAATCACACAAACAGTACCAGGAAATCACGCGATGATATCATTTATTTGTAAAGAAAAAAGAAAAAGACTCTGACTTATAATTTATATATTTAAATATATATTAATTATAAGTAATTAATATTAAATATATACAAGAAGTAACCAGAAAATACAAAAAATATTTCCAAAATAGTATGTTGTTAATAAAGCAAAATAATTGTTTTCAGACTTGCAAACTTTATTCAATAGGCTAATTCCTGTCCAAAATATTATGATCAGTAAACAATAGCTATGTCATTTGGTTCTATTTTTATTTTATAATCTTATCAGTAGAGTTTATATTGTTCATTTCTTATTTGTAGCGGTATAACATCTAAATAACATCTTGTCTAATGGTCATAATATTTCTTATCACTATTATAAATGCAATTGTTTTATCATTGTATTTGTTTGCAGACATCATCAGCACCGCTGAGAGAACTGACATCGCACCACATGTGAAGGACGGCTATATCATGATGTTCATCTACATGCCAGTTGTGTTCACCAATGAGTTCACACCGTACATTGGACAGATAATCACACCTATTCTTAAGGTGATTAGTTGGTTGCTAATGTTTCATTACAGTAGTCAGTTCAATTAATAAAATTGTACTAACTCGTGTAGTTGATTGTGTTACTCAATTACGATGTTTGATTCAAACTTCTCGGAAACAGAATCTTAATAAGCTTTAAAAAGCTTTTTTAAAGTTTGTATTAAATATTAATAGATTATTAGATTTTATTATATTTTGATAGGATAAGAACCCTTAACTTAACTTAACTTTATAGAAGAGCTTCAGCATTACTATGAGAAGTAACAAGTTTGCTAACCAACATGATTGAACTATGGACATGGAAACAGGTTTTATGGGATGGAAATTGGTTTTCCTAAACTAATCACTGTTTACTGAACCGTTACATGAGCTTTGTCGATAAGAGACAGTTGACGGCCCATCACTGTTCATGTGGTTGTACTGGGGCTAGGGAATGGTATTTTTCCAGAATTGGGAACCGGTACTCTGCGATCACAACCTTCCACCCAACATGCACACTGCGCCGCACCGACATCAAGAACAATAAGATAACAACCACGTAAAAAAAGTTAATTATAATACGTTTGTGAAACTGGGTAACACTATAAACATAAGTACTCATTAAACCTAACGTTGTTTTAATCTATACTTATTTAATACGCAAGCAGGTTTTTTGTGACAATTACTCCTCCAAAACTACTGAACCGATTGACATGTTTTTGGTGTCATTGGAAAGAGCGTAACGTGAAGATGTGCAGGAAACTTTCTTTTTAGGGAAATAATTAGAGAGTGAGGCCCTGGGGCCCTTTAAAGTTTCGTATTTCTCCATAAGATTAACATGGGAAACAAACATTGTTATGAAACTCCAGCTGTTGTTAGAAATTAAAAGTGAGAAGAAGAACATATGTTAATTGTAAAGAGTCAATGTGTAAATTATCTATGTTTTATTAAAAATGTACCTATATAGTTTTGGATGTTGGTTTGTGTTTAATGATACAAGTTATTATAAGTCAGGAAATGTTTGTAGAAAACACTAAGAAACAATATCAGCTTATGAAACATGATAAAATATTTACAGAAAATGTTTATTATATCAAACTGTTATATACAGCATGAGTATTTCCATGAGTTACACACCGGTAATCTTTGAGTTGACTCTTTTAAACTCATTGTAAATATGACTGTTATTCGTTTTGAAATAACTACTGTAATACTTTGCAATTGCTCGAATTCGAGCAACATGTACACTAGTATGGAATAAATCTGACATGTTTAATTGAATATTTAAGTGAAAATTCAATTAGGCAAATGAAAATTCACTTAGTGTGCAGGCTTGCTGCAGAGGACGGTATTTATTTTTTTTACAAACTTTATAAAATATTTCAATCTTGTACAGTATTAGTTCTTTTTTGTTTGGCCAAGCTCATCCTATAAACATAGAAACCTCCTCTCTTTACCAAAATTTGATAACAATGATAACCCAATTTTAATTTTACCCATTGACTACCAAATATAAAAATGTCTCTGACTCACAATACTTTGCCTTTCAGACACACTCATTCTCACAAAAAACGTTTTTTTTGGTCTAAGAATTGTAAATCTAAAAAAGGAAAAAAAGTGGTTCCTCTAGTTGACATTGATTTTTAGGCTCTGGCTGATGAGAATGAGTATGTGAGAGACACTGCTCTGAAAGCAGGTCAACGGATTGTCAATCTGTACGCAGACTCTGCCATCATGCTTCTGTTGCCTGAGCTGGAGAAGGGGCTGTTTGATGACAACTGGAGGATACGATATAGGTAAATATTATCAATAAACCAAACTCTTTCACATATACAGGGTGTCCCACGAAGAAGTTTAAATGTTCTATTTTATATTACTAGCTTATTTATGCATCAAAAGCTTTGAAACTTTTTCAAAATTTATAAATTAGGCTTTGAAACATTTTGTGAACATTGCAGCTTGCTAACGTGTGTAGGTGCAAAATGGCGGAAAATTGAAAATTTACATGATTTTTAATTTTTGAGAATTCTGGGATAATTGGATATACTACAGGAATTTTATATTACCATTACAAATCCTGAAAAACACCAAGAATCAAACCAATCCTCCGGGAATATGACAATAAATACAGTACAGTAGAACTCCTCATATCCAGCCTATGTGGGACCAAGCCCCTGGCCGGATCGCATTTTGGCCAGATAAACCAACCCATTATAAAAATTATAATCTATACTAATATATAAAAATGAGATGGTGTGTGTTAGTGTGTCTGTCTGCTACTTTATAACGGAAGAACCATTGAACAGATTAAAATAACATTTTGTATGAAGGTAGCTTATATACCTGGTTAACATATAGGCCTATTCCTATTATCATATTTCCCTTGGGCTACGCCCCATGGGCTTCCAAAGTTTTAATGTTTACATTTTGGAAGAACGTAAATAGTCAAAAATACTAATTGAAGTCAGCAAACAGCAGAGGTTAAGACTAACAGTTCTGCTCCCAATATTCTAAAGTTTTATTATTATGAGAATAGTTTGATTAATATATTATGAAAATATGCTTATCTTCATGGAAACAGAAGGATCATTACAATGTATAACTTTTTTGGAATAGTTTTGATATGATAGCTTTTTGTTTACACATTTCTCAATGTTTACACTTTCGTTTGTGTTTTAATTCAATTTACAAACTAAATTTCAACTAAACCTACTTTTATAGTCAGTATGCTACTACTTATATTTTCTTCTACCATCTACTTCACATTCACTTTTTTACATCTACAGAAACCTCCTTAGTAGTTGTGTTTTTACAACACTGTTTTAATTAATTTTACATTAAACTAAGTTGCATGCAATTCACTTTTGTTTCTAAAATCAATTAAATATCTGTAACGTAAATATGTTTGAATTCGTACGATATTTGAATTGATGAAATTTGTGCCCTGATTAACAATAATAGTGGCTGGCGTTCTAACAAAAGGCAATACAAGTTTTCCATTAGTTTATATTTGTTTATTATTGTGATATATAACTTACACAATGATATGCATGTAAAGATTGAACTTTGAAAAAAGCTCAGTAGCTACGGTAAAACATATCAATTATATGTGAAATCAATATAAACTGTTCTTTGCTTTACTACAGTGCCTTATGTTGTGCGATTACTTTTTCTTATTTACTTTATATGTAGGTTTTTCAACAAAATAAATGTTAAATACTAAGTAAGCTTATCATTAAAAATTGAATTGTATGGATACATTATTTCCATAAAAGCATCAGCGACTCATATCATTCGTACTAGGTAGCCTTATAAGTTAGCCTAGCCTTAAAGAAAGATATTTTTTCAAACTAAGAGTTTCAAATGAGTTATGTTCCTTAAACCAAAGGGGAATGTGTAACAATTTCATACAACAGAATTCAAGATGACAATTTTCGCTTCAGTGTCGTCTCTGTTGCAAAGCACGGGTACAACAGCTAGTTTGTATCTAATAACAACGTGTGATTGGTCAAAAGTAGTGGTTTAGTCTATTTTGGTATCATTTTTATAAACATATAAATCTGTGAAACCAAGCAAACGTTTATTTACAAGTCAAGTGTTAAAATAATTTACATTTTTATGTAGGCCTACACATATTTTGAACTCAGATACATAACATAAATTGATGTAAAATACAGTAAATATAGAGGAATAAATTACTCACAATAATTGGCTTTGATGATAACTAGACCTTAAAATAGTCTGTTATTTTCTGTTAAACTTTCTTGTACGTTGTTTTTTTTTCTCAAGCATAAGTCTCTAAAAAAACAGTTTTAAAAAGCATCACGTCAGCAACTGTTGAAAGGTCTTTATGCTCAATATAGGCCAGCGATGTCTGAAGTGCATTTCTCCCCTCCTCGTGGCTTATTTTATCTTGTTGAGAAGTGTCATCATCTAATGTTTCAGCCTCTTTGTTTTCATACTCTTGAACAACATTCTGCACGATTTATTCCAAGAACTCGTTTACCAAATCATCATCGGTTACCCACTCCTGAACATCTTGATCCAAGATTTCCTCACCGCCAGTTGATGCTAACTTTGTCAATTCGTTTAGGAGTTCTACATTACAGTTATCTGAGCGTTCATCTGCTACCTGGATGAAATCTTCATTCACAGTGCGGTTGACTAATTTCTCAATATCTGGCCAGGCCTTCCGCCAAGACTTGATGAATGTTGAACTGGGAATTTTGTTGTATAATTTGCCAGTCATGTTGATAACATCGTTTATGTTAATGTCTTTTAGAGCCGAGACAAAATCCACGCCCTCATTGTCCATTTTCCCTAAAATCTCTGAAAGAGGTTTGCACCTATATCGCCTTTTAAAACACTCTATAACACTTTGATTCATAGGTTGGATGGGACTTATGGCGTTGGCAGGCAGAAAGAGCAATTTTATTCCAGTAGAATCTTCACACCCCAGGCAAGCGTTCCATCATTGTTAAGCACTAAAATTTGAAGGCGAACTAAAATTTATCAGTACAGTTCACCTTTGTACTGTACCGGCTCACTCCTTGCTTTGCTGTAAACGATCCACGCACGGGCGCTTAGTCTATGTGGACGGGCAAATACAAGGATAAAAGAGGCTGCCAACCTCTTAAAAAAAATTTTTTTTCCGGCAACTTCTGCTCTCTTAAAAATCTCTTGACTCTAGGTATAAATCCCCTGGATACGATAAATCACAGGAAGGGAAGAAACATTGATGTGTTTAAATGCTTGAGGTTCCTGGGATTTACCGATGACCAAAAGTGGAAGTTTATGCTCCCCAGATACATTGGAACACAGGGCAATTGTTACATTCTCTTGTGTTATATTAATTCGGGTTCAAGTTGAAGACGATCACTTAGTGATTCGTCCTGCATACTGATAATCAAAACCATCAGAATCATCTCCTCTTCAATCTGACCCCAATCACAGATTTTTGCATGATGTGAAGGTCTGATAAAAATTGGCATGGAACCCTGTTTAAGTTTTAGAAACCTAGCCCGTTTAAAAAATAGGTTCTTTTTTGGAAGAAAATGATCGTCAAACTTCTTTAGAACAACTTTGTAATTAGATTTGTCATTGTCATTTAACCTGAATGAGTTAAGAATATCCTCTCCCTTTTCCCCCATACAGTAGATAAGCATGTCAATTTGATGTTTACCAGAACGTAGACTTAATTTGCTAAGGGAACAATACCTCTCAAAGCGAGTCTTCCATGTCTTCCAGTCATGAGGATTGAAGGAAGAGGCTTCAGGAGGCTTAATGCTCAAGAATACGGGTTCTTCATTCAACTGTCCCATGTTCTATTTCCTATTTAGATCGAAATTGAAAGATCAAAAGAAGCTAAACTGTTTTTAATAAAGACAAAAATACGAGACAACATCAGTTAAGAAAGTAAATAAAAACATAATGGTAAATAATAATTAAATAACGATAGGAGTTGAACAGATATAGAAGAAGTTAACCCATTTTAGGTTGCCTACCCAGTTGTTGAACCACCTAGCAACACAACATTCAACAATAACTTAGCAGACAAATCTTCTGTTAAAAACTTGTAGGCCTAATGTTGTAAACAATTTTCTAACTGCTTCTGTAATGTTATCAAAAGCAATATCCTATGCACAACACTTCTCTTTTTCTTTTAAAAAGTCATTCCTCAAACTTTATTTCTATAAAATTTATTGATGTATCGATACTAAAATGTAGGTATCGATAACAATACCATTTTTTTTAGTTTATCAAATTTTCTGACCTACCTCTGTCTTTATGTCCTTCCATAAAGTGTTTTTGGAGTGATGGGGTGTTTTTTTTTTTTTTTTTCAAATAAAGAACAAAGAAATGCAGCCAATGAAAAATGCATGCTAATCAATTTAAGTTAAATCGTTAAAACCCTTTTAAACACATGAAAAACACACTTTATCAAAGGTAGATGATGATACTGTACTTAAAAAAAAACAACAACAAAAAAGAATTTTACTAAAACTATAGGTGAGCCAGCCTGAGATTTTCAATCAATCCAAACCTGCAGTAATATTGTGATCATTTTCTGCGGTCGTGAAGACATCATCATTGTCTTTTTAGATCATTGTAAGATCCTGAATATCTTCCTTAGTCACGAAAACATAGTCACTGCCTTCCACGAGCGCGGCAAAATCCTGAATATCGCTCAGCAATTGGTAACTACATCAGATCTTAAAATCCTGGTGTACAGACTGGTAAAATAATTTATTACCTGTGTATTTTTACCCAATATTGTTTTTATAGAAGTGTGTGAGAAAGATTGTAACTTGATTTTATTTGTCCTATCTTCAAAAATATTCACTCAAGATTAAAAAAAAAAACAAACTCTTTTTTGCAAGGGGAAAAATTCCCTTCCCGAACTAAAAAAATCAAACCTGTGAAAACATGGTGTTCTTTGTCTTTTTATTAGGTAGCTAGCTGCTATCCCTTTATTCTAAATATCATTTTGAACCTGTAGTGTTAGAAACAAATAAATTTCACCCAAATCTGTACAGCAAATAGGCCTAATCGTTTTATTTATAACCTATACTCTCAATTTAGAATGCATAAATCTCACATTGTTTTTAAGCATTAACTTTTATTGTCTATGTAAATTGTTTCTAATGCTAGCAAAACTTATTTAACATATTTTGTTGTCCAGTTCAGTACAGTTATTGGGAGATCTGTTGTATCGCATCTCCGGAGTGTCTGGCAAGATGAGTACAGAGACAGCCAATGAAGATGACAACTTTGGAACTGAACAATCCCACAAGGTAGGCCTACACTTTCAATGGTTAAAATTAGGGATGGGCAAATCCAAACATTTTGATAATTTTGGGGAAAGAATATTTCCGATTATTGGGGCAGTATTATATTTGATTTGGGATTTTCTCAGGACAAGATTTTATTCCAATTGTCAGTAATTTTGCCACGTAATGAGTGACGATGACCTCTTTGCGATCACAGCAGAGGTATGGCTGGTGATGATGATAATGTCTCTGCTTGTGGTTCAATTGTAATTCTTTGTATGAAAAAAATTACTCAAAGTAACAAACTACTTGGTTTGTGTAATCAATCTGTTGACTCAACCAATTTTGCTACTTACAACCAAGGGTGAGCCACTTTGAAACTAAAGGGAAGAAGCTACTGAGCAGAAATTCAACCAGTGGTAATTTTGAACTCATTTCTTTGTTTACTCCAATGACATGTTGTTTAGTATTATCATTACATGCACAAAAAGTTAAAGTTGTTGACTTGCAGGCCATCATAGAGGCACTGGGAGCAGAGAGACGTAACCGTGTTTTGGCCGGCTTGTACATGGGCCGCAGTGACGTCAGTCTGATGGTGAGACAAGCTGCACTCCATGTCTGGAAGGTGGTAGTCACTAACACACCTAGAACATTGAGAGAGATCCTACCTACACTGTTTGGACTGTTGTTGGGGTGTCTAGCATCCACCAGCTATGACAAGCGGCAGGTCAGTCATAAAACAACATTTATGTTTGTTGACATTCATAACTAAAGGTGTGCAGATAGTGAAATATCATTTTGGATTGAAATGGGAAATGTTCTGGTAGTGTTCATATCTAATTGGCTACCCCTCATTTAATTGAAGAGCATTCTTAGGTGACGTTTTCATACATGTAAAAAAAATCTAAATAGAAATCAATATTATTCAAAGCTAAGTACAACTTAGTGGTCTTAAGAGTACTCCAGAACTTTTTGGATCTCAAAATCTGTTCTGTGATAAATTAAAGGGATTGAAACCATAAATGGAATTCATCGGTAAAAAAGTGAATAAGTATGTAATAGGGGTGGGCGATGTAGTACTGTGAGTTAATTATGTAAAGTAACAAGACATTTTCGTAAGAAAAGTTATATTTGAAACACCAAGTAACTATGTTGTTCTGTCAAACGTAAACAAAAAACAATGCAAACAAAGTATTGAAAACACATTTAAATTGTATCAGCTGATTCAGTACACTACATCGTCCCCCCTTCTTCTAAGAGTTAAGCCAGACGAAGTTGATCTGCGTGGCATCGTCTATTTAGTCCATTTGTATTTACTACATATGAGTAAGGACCATTCACTTTCACAATCGTTCCTTTCTTGAAACCAGCTCCAGATTTGTCTAGTACCCATACATTGTCGTCCTCTTTAAAAACTTTTTCTTTTGATCCAGGTTTTTGTAGCCGCTGTTGAACCAACTCTTCGTCGTTTTTCTGCTCAACGTCAGGAAACAACATGTCTAATTTGGAGCGTAATTCGCGACCAAACATCATAAATGCTGGAGTTTTTCCAGTAGATCTTCTCAGTGACGTTCTGTAAGCAAATAAAAAGCTGTTGAGTTTTTCTTGGAAAGTCCCAGCATTTCCTTTTGAAGCATTCATGCGTTCTTTGAATGTACGAACACATCGTTCCGCTAATCCATTGCTTTTTGGGTGATAGGGGGTGATTCGAGCATGTTTAATGTTTAGGCTCTTACAAAAGGTTTGAAACTCGTAGGATGTTAGCTGTGGTCCATTATCGCTTACAATTACCCTTGGATAGCCAAATCTTGAAAATAACTCTTCTAAAGCTTTGATCGTTGACTTTGTTGAAGTTGACGACATCGGGAATACTTCAAGCCATTTTGACCGAGCATCTACTACAATCAACCACATTTTCCCCATGAAGGGTCCGGCAAAATCGATGTGGATCCGTGACCAAACTTCTCCAGGAATAGGCCATGAGAATAACGGCATCTCAGGATCTTTGCTTCTGTTTTCTTGACATCCATTGCAATGTCTAGTGTGTTCTTCCAAGTCCTTGTCCAGTTTAGGCCACCAGACTTGAAAACGTGCCTTCCCTTTCATAGCTACAATACCTGGATGTCCCTCATGTAGTATTTCCATCACTCTTGATCTAAGTTTCGCAGGTATGACCAATCTCCCAAACCAAAGTAGAATTCCATTCTCAAAGGAAAGTTCTTCACGTTTGCTGTAGTACGGTTGTAGGTTAGTGTCTTCATTATTTTCCAAAGGCCAACAACCCCTTTTTAAATAGTTTACTACTTTTGAAAGTATTGGATCAGTTTTTGTCGCTTCTTGCAAACACTTTGTCGATATTGGTAGATCCTGTGAACGCAAATGGAAAAGGTGTGCTTTGTTACTGCCACCCTGGTCTTCCTCTGTAGATTTTATCGTATTTTGCAAGGGAAATCTTGATAATAGATCGGCTATTTTGTTATCTTTGCCCTGTTGATAGTTGATCGAGTAGTCATAGGCACTCAGTGTTAATGCCCATCTAGCGATTCGATTTGAAACTACCTTCGGAATTGAATCATGTTCACCGAAGACTTTAACCAATGCTTTATGGTCCGTTCGAACTTCGAAATGTCTACCATAAAGGTACTGTTCAAAACGAGTTACTCCAAAAACCAAACCTAACGCCTCCTTTTCTATCACGCTGTATCGGCACTCAGCATGATCAAGGCGCCTTGACGCAAAAGCTAAAGGTTTTTCAGTCCCATCAGGATACTTTTGGAAAAGAGCAGCTCCAACACCAATATCACTCGCATCAGTTGCGAGGATGAGAGGTAGGGATTCGTCATAGTGAGCCAACGTGTCTGTTGTAGTAAGAAGATGCCTCAATTTTGCTGCTACCTGTTCATGGTTTTCGTTCCAATGCCATTTCACGCCTTTCTTTAGCAGTTTGTGTAATGGAACACACAAGGACTGTAAATGGGGAATAAATTTACTGTAGTAATTGATCGACCCAAGAAATGATCTTAACTCTTTCACATTTTTCGGTGATTGCATGTTTTTCACTGCTTCCAGATGTTCTGTCGTTGGATGTATACCAGCTCTATCAATTCTGTGACCCAAATAGTTAACGGAATCTTGAAACCATTTACATTTTGATGTCTGGACACGAATTCCAGATTCTTGAAAACGTCTTAACACTTCTTTGACACGTTCGATATGTTCCTCTCTCGTTGGGGCTGTGACTATCGGTCCGTTTAGTAGACTGCGCCATTTGTAGTACTGTGAGTTAATTATGTAAAGTAACAAGACATTTTCGTAAGAAAAGTTATATTTGAAACACCAAGTAACTATGTTGTTCTGTCAAACGTAAACAAAAAACAATGTAAACAAAGTATTGAAAACACATTTAAATTGTATCAGCTGATTCAGTACACTACAGGCGAGTAGTGATTTTTCAATTCGAGTCGAGTCAAGTATTTGAGTAAAAACTCGAGTATCGAGTCGATTCGAGTAATTGCACGTAAAGTAGTCCTAGGCCTAAATAGATAGTTTAAGTAGTATACACACCAAATCTTCAAAGTTATAACTTATGGTTACAAATTATTAGTATTAGGCCTAATAAACAAATTGGCCTAGCCTGTTTGCTGCAGCATTAAATTTGCACTTGTTATTGTGTATTTTATTCATACTTACCTTTTCTTCCTCCTCACTAACATGATAATCAACCTAGTTAACTAATTACTTTAAGAATAATTTCAATTCAATAAAGAATCAGAATTTGTAAAAAGAAATTTATTTATAAAACAGATAACCAAATATAACTACTTGTATCTTAAGTTAAAAACATCAATATGCAATAATGTTTTTTAAAATAATCACTTGGAATGAAGTGCTTAAGTTTGAAGGTTATGGGTACTGTGGCTATCCTCTTCACTCATTACATTTTATGAGAATGATAAAAATAAGTCACTCGTCCTAAAAACTAAAAATATCAAACAAAAACGTAGTAGGACTAGACCTATTATCTGTTAATAAAATCCAACATTAAAGTCGTAATTTAAAATTTAAACACATTTCTTAGGTTATGTTCCCAAATAAACTTCAAACTGTAGTCGTCATGTTTCTGCCACCAGATTGAAAATTGCACAATCAAAATCACAATTAGAATATGTTTATTTTACTTTCTATTAAACTTCCCTTAAGAAAATCAACTTTATTATAAGTTACAAATTCACTTCAAGGTAAAAACATTCAAAACTGACGTTGACATATCACTCCATTCCATAATTTGTTGTTAAGCCATCTGTCTGTCTCTCTCCCTCTCTCTCTAGCCAGTCAGTCAGTCAGTCTGCTCATTGTCATTCTGCTTCAGCTTTGCTTTCCCATCAAACAGCTGTTTTGCTGGGCTGACGTTGCCATGATCTTGCTGGCTTTCTGCCAAGACCCAATGAAATTGCGTCATTCCGATGCATATATGTTCCTTGCAGTAACTTATCGGCTTTTAAAACTGAACACACCAATACCGATTAAAGTGAAAAAATACCATGCAATAATAGTTAGTTTATTTTATTTGTGGTATTAATATATTTTGGTATAAAATATTTTGATGGCAATTCAAACTAAATCTAATACTGTACTTTATAATAACTTCAAGAATCATCTCTCTGCCTATGATTTAGTAATCACGATAGACTCCCTTGTTGACTATCGACTATAGATTCATTCAATGCTTTATTTGGTTTAACTTACCGTATCGTTATCGAGACATATTGTTGACTGTTGAGCAGAAGTTGTAGTAGTCCCCTTGCTAGCTCCGCCAAATGACAATATGGATGGTTGTTAGTTGAACTAAATAAGCTGAACTAGCCTATACTGTATATTAAATTAGATATGTAGTTGTTTTTGTAGGAATGGGGATTAAATGAGATATCAACACAAAACAAATATAATTTATTAAATATGGTGTAGAAAATCGTGAAGTGGCACTTTTCACTTTTTATAACTACTCAACTTGAATTTTTGAGTAGTAGTTACTACTCAACCCGAGGTTGAGTATTTGGAAAAAGTCGAGTAATTACTCGAAGGTCGAGTACTCGCCCACCCCTTCAGTTCTTTTATCTAAAATTTTTCTTTAGCCTGTTTAGAATTTTTAAATGACTAAAACAGCTGATGATTTAAAGATAATCCATTGTATTATATAAATAAACATCATTCCTTTCTGTTCTTCTTGTAAACATGACTTTTATTTTTTCTCTCTTAATTTTTTATTAATTTACTCAAACACTCCACATTATTTAATGGTCCTTCGATCCAAGATATTACTTAAGCGATTTGGAATTACTTTCTTCCACTAAAACTCATTAAATAATTTACTCAAACACTCCACACCTAGTATGTAATTTTAAAGAAAAAGTAGGCTTACCACTTTTACATTACAATTGTTAATGTTTCAGGTGGCGGCCAGGACCCTGGGTGACCTTGTACGTAAGTTGGGAGAAAGAGTGTTGCCAGAAATCATCCCTATACTAGAGCGTGGTCTGGAGTCTGACCAGCCAGACCAGAGACAAGGAGTGTGTATAGGGCTGTCAGAGATCATGGCCTCCACTAGCAGAGACATGGTGTTGACCTTTGTACACAGTCTGGTACCAACTGTGAGGTCAGTCCCTACTGGTCTGTGGGCAAGAAGTATTGATGATTTAAAATACTAATTGTAACACTACAATCTGTTTATGCAATATAATCTCCCCCATATAGTGGTGAAATCGTGAATATCTTCTGCGCATACAGCAAATTCATCAAAGTCTTCACCTTCACCTTATGGATAAGGTGAAGCACTATTCACTGTGGGAAGACCTATCGGCAGGTTTGTCCCAAGGTTCAATCTTAGGTCCTCTATTCTTTTTAATATACAGTGGATTAACTGGGGACAGATCCAATCCAAGGGCTATCCAAAAAGTAAAGAACGTTTCGTTATGACGCCGCTAGGCGCGCGCCGATTTTGTACATTTTGGTGCGTGCACATTGGCAGGGTGGCCACGCGCCATGAATTCCGGGAAATATGCATGAATTTTACGTGCCGGGAAAAAATCGGGGAATGTGCATGAATTTTAAAATTTCGCCGAGAAAAATCACAAAATGCATCTTTATAGCGCTTTTGTAATGAAACATAATCCTAAGCCGATTTTGTTGATATTTGACAAGTAAATAACAAGAAAGTAAAATGTTTGAGTTTTATTTAATCCCTTAACCCCTTTCAATATTGACATACTAGGCCTAATAATAATCGGCAACCTAGACATCGCTTGCATCATCCATTTCACTGAAAGCGACAACTGACACTGGGTGATAGTGATAACTTAGGTAGTAGTGTGCGAGTGCGATGCATTGAAATTTCAATTCGATGCATCGAATCCCGATTCGATCCAGCATGCATCGATTTGGTCACGATGCAGTTCTAAAAAGGGATGTGTCGATGATCGTCATCGATACCACCATCCATTGGTTACCACTTGGACATTGGTATCGGTACCAAGACTCGATGGTCAGAAGTCGATTCCGATGATACCGACACCCGACAGGGATAAATATTTTATTTTAACATTTATTTACTTTATAGCTGCAGTATTAGTTTTGTAATCACGGTTAACAATTTGCATAGCCAACTTAGAAACTATCTAGTTCAAAACAGCGACGGTGCCCGTGACATTGTTTAGCTTCAGCTCATTGCACAACACAATCTACATTTCAAGATGTCAGACAACTCAAGAGACAACCGGCGCGCGAATGTCCTGCCAACACGAAATTAATTATATTAAACAATGTCTGTATCAATAAGTCAGACATTTAGACATGTATTATTTTTATTTTTAGAACAAAATAAATAACCTAAACACGTCGAAATGTTCAGTTTCATCCCTGCATTATATTACTAAAATGGCTGGAACAAAAATTAATGTCGTTTGAGTTTTAAACAGGGGCTCAGTTAGAATGTGTCAGTAAATGTGATAGTGACGTATGGTCTATGTACGTGTGTGGAGTAGTGTCTTGTGACGAAGCAGGTTGTGTTGTAGTGGGTTTAGTAATAGTGAGGCCAGTGCTGTAGTGATCAGTGATGGTCGTTTGAATCACAGCTGATTTAATATCGCATTCGTCGTTATATTTTACAAAAATGTGATCCAAGCAGCTCTCGGATACCCCAGACACTCTTGTAGGTTTGTCAATACATTGTACGTACAAATCCTCCTCCTATTAGACTATCCAAATATTTATCGGTTATACAATCTCTTCTAATTAAGTCAAAATTAATCTCTCCCATAAAAATGCAGTTTACATTTTTATTGATTCTATTAAAATAATTTTCAATTTAATTCACAAAACTGTCTGGGTTACTATCAAAGGTACGATAAACAGCAAGTATTAACATTTGTTTTTTATCAAACCAGAAGGCTATACTCAACCCGTAAACATCTCCCAAAGTAACCTGTGTTGCAGTAGCAGAAAGCCGTTTGTTAGTGTAAACAATGACTCCGTCATTTTTGTTTTTGTGTGTATCAGTCTGGTGCATGTCAAATCCGTCCAAACCGGTTCCCTCCCCTCCCTCCCCCAGCCAACACTCTGTCAACACTATGACATCTAGAGAAGAAATAAAATCATTTAAATAAACTAGCTACTCATCTGAGTTTTTATTGAAACTTCTAATATTGGTTTGAAAAATACACAAACCATCCCCCCAGCACCGTGATCATAAAAACAGAATATTGTGAAATGGAACTTAACTCTAAGCAGTGAAATGGTTTATCTAAATTATCGTCAGCAGTGTCACACAGCATAGGTCGTCTTGTCTCCTGTCTGCAATTGTGTATTATTAGACTATTGTGCCATAATAATGAGAAAAATAATGTCAAATAATATAAACAATTTAAAAGTGTTATCAAACGTAAACAATTTAATCACTTTAAAACTAAACTACAGTATTGAGATAAAGAGATTGGAATGAATTATAATGAATGATATAAGGTGTCCTTCATTTGATAATATATCATGATGTTATAAGCTAAGAACCTTATTTTTAGGATTATAATAACCAAAAAAAGATTGAAGCTTTCAGCGGGAGAACATTTTAACTGGGTAAAATTATTGAAATATCTGATAATAATTGATCTAAGATTATAAATCAAATTATACTATAAGATAATGAATGAAAATTAAGCTATATCCTCCCCTTAACAAAACCAAAATGATCAGCATTTTGCTTCTTATTATTTAACAATAAGGTGGTAAAAAATATTTGATTTTAATTGCATAAGATTGGTTAACGTAATGTTTTAAAATGAATGATTAAATAATGAATTTGTAAGGTATAAGGCAGCTAGCATCTCAATTACGAATATCTTAACTAAACCATATCACAATATCAAATAACTGCTTTGTAAAACATCTGTACTTAATAAAAAGGATGATTGAATTGTTTATAATTAAGAATTTAGAATTTATTCATTTATGTACCAAAATGAGTTAGACAACAATTAAAACAGAACAAAGAATAATAATACATATTTTCATCGATTGAAAAATTAAAATTGAATTTCTTATGATTGTTGTTTAAATTAAAAATAAACTTATTGGCAAATACTGTTCTAAAATAATATAGAAGGCCTACATACATGAAATGCGTTCCTATTTAGATTGAACTTGATATTTTTCCAACTCCTCCTGATGACAGATCGCAGCATCCTTCTCTCTTGGCTTAATCAGGATCTTGCCATTGAAGTACCCAGCGAAGTGGATGAGGCTGTCGCGCTGCGTCCCCCTCGCTATCTTTTTTCACTAAATTATATTTAGTAATTTTGCTATCCCTTTTTACTATATATGAATCAGTCTCACGTTGTTACATTAGATTAGCAACTAACTGATGACATGAAGAGCTGGTTCTCAAGCAAGGGATTTGCGATATTTGCAGCTCATATGCGAGCAGAAGATGTTAACATCCAATATAATTATTTAAATATAAATTCCTTACTGTCTCGTAGTAGCCCAGTCAATAATGGGATTGTGTCGGAAGTAATTAGTGAAAGGCTGATTTTTTGCCCATCGACTATTACCATTTAGACAAGTGTTCAGCCAAAAGTCCCCACCCCTACACAGATGACATTTTCAACTGTTACATATATACCAGGTGTTCAAAAAGTCTGGACACCTCTTATCTTTTTAACAAAATTGGTTAGAAAATTCAAACTTGGCACAACCACATATATGTATAAAAACTACTTTTTGCAAGCATAACCATTTTTTTACCTCCACGGGGGGACGCCCATGACGAGTAAGTACAAAGTCTTAAATGTAAGCATAGGTTGATATGCACATCATTTTAAAGGGCTGGTTAAAGGAGTTCAGTGCTGGAAACCGCGTCTCAAAAGGTTCACCAGTTGCAAAATGGCGGTCATTTAAGGTTTCTACAGTATTGAAATTGGGGTTCAAACAAGACTTATTTATTCTGACTTAGTCAGGAAACCCCTTTATTTATTTTATTAATGAACACAGAGCAATGAAACTCTAGGATTACGTCCTCACTGTAGTCAACAGTCTGAATTTTGACCAGCCCTTTAAAATGATGTGCATATCAACCTATCCTTACATTAAAGATTTTGTACTTAGCCTACTCCTCATGGGCCGCCCCCCCATGGAGGTAAAATACCCCCGCCGCAGCAAACCTGCAGACTAAGCGAATTTCCATTTGACTGATTGGATTTACACTGAAATGTCTACTTAAAAATATAACATTTATTCCCGATTTAAATAGAATTAGTTTAACAAGTACTTAGGTTTGCTGCATCAGGGAGGGTAAAACTGTTTTTTTTTTTTGTAAAATGTTAATAGTTAGTAATAAATAAAAACATTTTCCAAATTTGATCAAAATATGTTCATAAACAAGCAAACTACAACAGTTTACTCATTCTCCATAAGAATAACATGGGAATTTTAAATTTACAATTTTTTGGAATTTTCTCCGTAACCATATGGCGCATAATAACGCTTCAATATACTAAATTATTTGTTTTTTGAAGCTCTACAAAATGGTTGGGAAATAAATTGCTAAATTTTATGTTTTTTGGGTCAAAAATGGGAAAAACCTATTTTTACCCCATAACACCCCCGTAAACACCCGTTCCCATGGTCCGATCATGCTGGATCGCAAACTCGTTCGAATAAACGTAGGTTTACACGTTTGTACCAAATTTCATCAAAATCGGATCATTTTTGCTCGAGTTATCGTGCTGACGGACACATATATATATATATATATGAATTTGAACGGATGGTGTTTTTGGCCTCTAGGGACCTCAAAACGAAAAAAAAATCGGTCCCGCGTCCAGGTCTTACCATGAGTACTACGGTAATAGCTTATTCCCTATATGGGAAATTCGCTAAAACTGGTATTGCTTGCAAAAAGTAGTTTTTATATGTATATGTGCAAAGATTGAATTTTCTAACCAATTTTGTTAAAAAGATATTAAGAGGTGTCTAGACTTTTTGAACTCCCGGTATATTAAAAATGATAAAATTGCTTTTGTTCAAACTTGAGAGCATATGCGTGATCGGAAGATAGAACTGGCAGTTCAGTAGTTTATCCAGTTACTAATGTTTTGTGTCACCTGTTGTAGGAGAGCTTTGTGTGATCCACTGCCCGAGGTGAGGCAAGCTGCAGCCAAGACATTTGATAGTCTCCACTCCACTGTCGGTAACCGAGCCCTCGATGACATACTACCCTCCATGCTCAACCAACTGGCCAACCCAGACCCAGCTGTGGCTGAGTGTGTTCTGGATGGACTGAGACAGGTGATGGCTATCAAGTCTCGTGTAGTGTTGCCGTACCTTGTGCCTCAGTTGACTGCACCTCCTGTCAACACCAAGGCTTTGTCTATCTTGGCGGCTGTGGCTGGCGAGGCTCTCACCAAGTACCTACATAAGATACTCCCTGCCCTGCTCTCTACGCTGGCCGCCAACCCCTCTAGCACTCAGGTAATAGTAAAACCATTCTACTTTTTATTTATTGATTTAAGATCCAATTCTGCTCAAAGAAAAAATGACAACTAAAGGTCTACACCTACAATAGACTTGATAAATGTGCTTTTTAGCAGAAAATTGGCCATAAGAAGATCAACCTGGGGGTATCTGCAGGTCCCCGATAATTTTGGGTGGCCAACGCCTGAGATTAGTTCAAGCTAGAAATAATTTTTTGGTCGAACTCAAATCATGTGAAGCAGAGCCAAGCTTTTATTCTTACGATCACAGAAAGCGTCTGCCACAGTGAACAATTTGTCATGACGTTTACGATTTCGGCGTGACCGCAGAAGATGTTCTAGATTTCCCTTTGATCTGGGTGTTCACGATTTTGCTGTGACAGCATGTATATGACGTTCTAGATTTCTTTGTGACTGCAGAAGCTATTAACGATTTACTGTGATATGGGGGAGATCATTGTATGAATTGATGTAGTATTACAATTAATATTTATTTGAAATCAATAGTCTACTTTTCAAAATTCAAAGCTACCTCAGGGACAACATTTTTCACCAAACCTGACCCGACCTCATGTAAAAGTCTGGCCAGCATATTCCTAAAACCTGGTAATTGAAAGACATGCCAGGGTGTCCAGCTGACCTGAAATTCAGGGAAAATGTTAGCTGTATGTGAATTTTGAAAACTAGAAAAGTTGTTAAATTCTATCTATGTAAATTTCATAAGGGACCGAATCATTTTGAGAGTTTGAATTGTTACAAATAAAACCTACCAGATTCCCTTTTTTAATTTTCCAAAAATGATGTGTCAAGAACAAAAAATTGTGATTGTGGGAAATTATCGTGATGATGGTATGAATGATCCGGAATTCAGCACAATTACAAGATATAATCACGGAAGTTGCTGTCATTGTAGTAATTTGTCACAGATGTTGCCCCAATCGCAGAACATCATGACGGTTATTGCTATGACTGTGATCACTGTGTGGCTATGGGGTGATCATGGATGATGGCATGGTCGTTGGAGATGATCGATTTACGAGTAATCATTACGTATGTTGCCATGACCACAGAATATCATCTCTGATATGTTCTGTTATTGGGAAATCAACACAGATGGTTAGGTTTGGATATGTAAGGTTTGAAATGTTGTTGTAGTCAGGAGTGTCAGTTGAAAGCATGAATCTGTCACAAAACTGTAATTTACTCGACAACCTATTGTTTGCAGGAGTTGGAGTACTGCCAAGCAGTAGTGCTGTCAGTGACTGAGGACGCAGGTGTACGTGCTATCATGGACCAGCTGATGGAGGTGGCGCGCAGTGATGACGTTGGGCTGCGCAGGGCTGCGTGCACACTGCTGTGTGCCTTCTGTAGCCACACCAAAGCTGACTACAGCCAGTACGTGCCTCAGCTACTGAGGGGACTGATACACTTGCTGATAGACTCAGACCCTCAGGTCCTGCAGATTAGCTGGGAGGCTCTCAACGCTGTTACTAAGGTGAAGGATCAGTGTAGAATGATTTACCAAGACCACCTGCTGCTCTAACCTGGGTAACTTATAAAAGGGCCCAGTTTTCAACTAGATAATAATTATTGGTGTGAATTTGTTATCTTTGTCTCACCGTATATATATATGCGGTGCTAAAATAGTATTCAAATTGACATGTTTGAAAGTTGCTTAGCAAGGTGACAAGTTGAGACATGTGAGCTTTAGCAGCAATTAAGTCTTATAGTAAAAATTAATTGGCATTTTTTTTTATAAGTTGCAAAAATATATTTTGCAATGCTTTCTCTCACCGTGTACATTGTCAGTTTATTTGAATGAAATAAAAAATATTGAGTTTTTAGGGAAGATATGCTTATGTTTGCAATTCTGGGCTGAATGGCCTGAACGTGTGTACACTATTGATTGAGGCTCATCCAACAAAAATATGGCTGATCTCCCTTCCAAATCCTGGCCTACAGCCTACAACTAGATATACGTAACCCCAAAGGAAATACTGAGTTTCTTTTAGTAGAGAAAAATAAATTTTCCAATAAGTACAGGCTTTTTAATAGTTTCAGATGCTAAAAATGTCCAAAAGTATCTCAGATTTGACCACCCAGTTGTGATTTTCTGATTGAGTTACACACAGACATACACATTTGAACTTAAATATGTAAATTTTTCATAAATATGTAAACACTAACTTTGCAAATTCTCTTGCGAACAGAAAGGTAACTCCTCACTAATACATTGTTTTTAAAAGACAAACGGTGTAAACTTGAGGCTTTCTGTGTACAACCATGAATTTACAACCACACAAGTGTTGTTGCAATGCTTATCAACCTGGTGTCATTACTTATTTATGTTTTCCAGACATTGGACGCAGAGCAGCAGATAGCCCATGTGAACGATGTGAGACAAGCTGTTCGGTTTGCCGTCAGTGACCTCAAGGGCAGTGATGTTCTTCCGGGCTTTTGTCTGCCAAAGGTATTGTGTTTTAAAAGGAATATTTTACAGCTTCAATTAAAGACTTTGACTTTATATCTTGTTTCTCTCATCCACTAAGGGTCTTAATTTTCTAGTTTGATTGTATGAGGCAAGTGAGACAAATATGTTAGTCCAGCCAACATAAGTTTAATTTGTTACAACCTTTTAGATAAATTGGTGTAATGTCAAAAATAACTAATAAGATTTTGTCAGATAGGCCCTTGGCTACAGTTGCCGGCATGTCTTCAGCCTGTGAAATAAATAATTCTTCCCAAACAACAGCAGTTCATCCATATTCTGTGGCTCTGCATTTTATTTATTAATATTAATAAAGTAAAAAGTAATCAATTTTTATACTGATGTTATTTAATTTTAATCTGTCTTAGTCTTAAATATTGAGCTAAAGTCTTGAAGTCTAAAGCTTTCGTATAGTTGAATTTTTTTTCTATCTTGCATGTTGTCAGAAGATTATGTGTCGTATGATCTAATGATATTTACTTGTGCACAGGGAATCACACCCATCCTACCACTTTTCCGAGAGGCTATTCTGAATGGAGCGCCGGAGGTGAAGGAGCAAGCTGCCCAAGGTCTAGGGGAGGTGATCAGGCTGACCTCAGCTGAGGCTCTACAACCCTCCGTGGTTCACATCACTGGGCCTCTCATCCGTATACTGGGAGATAGGTTAGCCATTGGCTCATTCAAAATATTAGCAAGTAATTCTGATAGTGTAATATTGTTTTCTTCAGATGAAAATTCATTTAATAATAAATCACTTAATCAGAAACCTAATCAATCCCCAATAATTTAAAAGTCACGCTGTTATAAGCGACCAAAACATGTGGCTGAAGAGACAAATAGTTACCTAATCTCAGTGCCTTGGTCAAAGTCATGGGGGTCCACTCCCTCCCCCGCCCCAATCATTGCACTTCCAACCATATTCCTTTTACATTACTCTAACCACTTATAATGAGGTTTTAAGTATTATTAATAGGTCTTTAGTTGAAATAACGTTTAACTTTTTTTTGCATGATTTTATATTGTATCGGATATACTAAATACAAAGTTATGATCTCGGTTTGCTTAGAAAAATTACATGGCAGAGATAAGTTAATGATTCCAATCTTGAATAAAAAGGCAAGTACCTACAGGTTTTTACATTATCATAAAAACTAACTTGAACAATGTAAAGGCATCGGCTAACAAATTGACACCTTATCCTTCATTGGGGAAGTTTTTTTTTTTACTAAATTAACAGAAATTTATTTATAAATAACTACACACACACTAAAACACCTTTTATCAAACCACCCCACGTCCCACACAACCGAAGAGACTCAAGGAAGCACTCCCTCAACTGATAATAGATTAGATCCAGACTAGCCGCTATCGACGCTGAAGGAAACAACTTTGACAGGTTTCGTCTGTACACAGCCCACAGTACCACCACTCAAAAACTAAAATTCCCCGTGATTCCTACCTGACCCCTAGACTAAGTAGTCCAGAAGTTGATGAATAACATTAGTCGCCGAATACGCTAGTCCGCAGACTGGGGAGTTAGTTCGCAATTTCTTATTCGATGACTAACTTCGTTCACTGATTAAGTAACTCCAGGATTACATATTCCCGAGCTCCAAAACCTGCCCTAAATAGTTTACCTATGCAGCACTTTTGTCCAAATATTTTTTTTTTACTTTTATTAATTTTAAAATTTTTTTATTTTTTTTTAATTTTTTTGTTTTTCCAGAAAAACATTCCTAGTACATCGGTTAAAGATATAATTGAATAAAAGAGTGTTTTTACGAAGATTAATGTTGTTATATATCATAAACTATAACAAGAGGTTGTAATAATCGGCAAATATATCCACGGAGCCAAAACAGATAGGTGGATATCCCGCTATGCACAAAATAATAGCGGATATATCCGCCTATAGTCCGGGAAAGGTTAAGCCAGATAAAAGTAGGCCTATTTAAAAAATTTGGTTGTGTGTGGATTTTAATTGTTTGAAATTTATGTTTGATTGTCAATTCATGCTGCTAGTGGATATTTTTTATGACATTACAAAATATATATAAAATCAAATTATCATTATTCACTTCATACATTTTAGTGTCAAAGCATACTAGTGATGGGCGAATCCAAGAAAATGTCGGTACCGGATCCGGATCCGGATCTTGAAAAAATCGGATCCGGATCCTCGGATCCAAATACAGATAAGTTTTTTTTCTTTTTTCAAGGGCGGGTTTTTTTAAATAAAATAATTCATATGGCTAGAAAATGTCAAAGACTAACTGTGTCCATATAAAAACACTTAATATGTGTTGTTATTCAATCCAATTCAATTTCAATTTATTTATTCAATAACAACACAATGACAAAAGGGCATTATAACACTAAGCTACATAAGCCTCATAAAAGGCTTGACCGTAGCATTTCTTGATTTCACTTAATGTCTTTTAGATGCTTCTCGTTGAGTCAGCCATAATTTAATAGTTTTCCCTTCCTAAACAGTAACAAAGCCTGAACCAACAAACTCAACTACATAACATGAGTATAAACATATAAAATTGAAACACAAAAAAAAAATAGTTTGAGCAAAGAAAACTGTAACAAGATCTATAGGTACAAGTAATACTGTAACATTTTACCTAAAACTACTTAACATGAGTATAACAAGTATTAAAATTTAAATATCAACAGTACCAAGTAATTAAAATGACTATAAAGATTAATCATAACATTCAATTATAATTTATTTTTTAAACAAAAAACACAGACACAAATAAGTATGCATATAAGAATTTATTATCTACTATTCAAATAAATAAAGATTCTTCAGCTTGACCTTTAACAATTTATAAGTTTTTACCTCTTTTAGACTTTGTGGCAGATTATTGAATAATGTTGGTACCAAATAACTCCTTGTTCGTTTTGTATACTTATTTCTAATACTAGGAACGATATAAAATTCCTTCCTGGAGTTATATCTATGTACCTTTATTGTTTTGAACTTATCTGTATAGTAATAATCAACAATCAACAAATAAGTAAACAGTTTTTCTACTGGCAGAACACCTGTCAACTGATAACACAGCATTGGAAATTCATTTACAATAGCAGAATCAAGCTTAGTGATTATCTTTAATATTCTTGTTTGTACAGTCTGCAGTTTTTGTAATTCTGATATCGAGGCATTTCCCCATGATCTTAATCCATATCTAAGAAGTGACTCGCACATAGATGCATATATAACTTTTAATGTCTTAAATGGTAAGTAATCTCGCAAGTAGTACAGTTTTGAGGCACATGCTCGAAGTTTTTCTTTTAAATATAGTATATGAGCATCCCATTTTAAATTATGATCTACAATTTTTGCTAGATATTTAAAGCTGTTGACTGCTTCCAATGCTCGACATTCACATTTTTCTTTTAAGTATGTTTTACTGTGTAGACAATTTTGTATATGTGCTATAACTGTAGGTTTTTTACAATCGTAATAGGGGGAGTGTATATGCATTATTTTAGATTTCTTACAATTTATGCTTAATCCATTGTCATGGCACCATTTTGTTATTTCTAAAAAATCTGATTGTATATCTCTGACTGCATCTTCAAATTTTTTGTTCGATGTCACCAGTACTGTATCATCAGCATTACATGTATATCCGACTTTTTTGTATTATCTCTGGCATTTCATTTACATAAAGTAAGTATAAGAGTGGCGGATCAGTTGCTGAAGGTCTAATTCCCGGAAGGTCTAATTAGACCTTCGACACACATTTTGCAGTTTGTACTTGTTGCTGAGGGTCTAATCTGGTAGTATGTCGAAGGTCTAATTCCCGGAAGGTCTAAGAGTACAGTCAATGCAAAAAACTTATCCACTGATACTGTTTTAGACCTTGCGGGATTAGACCTTGGGCACAAAATGTTACTTTTTAAAATAAATGTTTATAAAATGAGAGTTGCTGAAGGGCTAATTCCCGGAAGGTCTAAGGTTCGAGTCCCGGAAGGTCTAATTCCCTGAAGGTCTAATTCCCTGAAGGTCTAAGATTCGAGTCCCGGAAGGTCTAAGATGCGGGCGGGCATTGCGTCGCCATAGATGAAGGCTATACAAGCAGGCAATAACGCAACAACTTGAGTTGTAATTATCGATATGTTTCATTCACTCCAAGATGGTTCACTCCAAAAAGTAATTTTACAAATTATTTGCCTGTTCATTCACTCCACTGTTCATTCAATCCAACGGGTACAGTTAGCTCTATAAGTAGACTAACAAGTAGAGAATATAATTTTTGAATTTTTCTGTACATTTTATACAATATCAACAACATGTTTTATAATTAACTAGTGTCCCTGTTGCTCGAAATCGAGCAATTGCTAAGTATTACAGGCGTTATTTTAAAACGAAAAACAGTCATATTTTTTATGACTATAAAAGATTCGACTAAAAGATTATGGAATACTCAAGATGTAGATAACAGATCGATATCATCAACATTTCTTGTAAATATGTTATCATTTTTCGAAAGCTGATTTAGTTTTTTAGTGTTTATAACACACATTATTTCTATTTCTTCCCCTTGGTGGTGTTCTATGACTTTCCTATGTTTCCATAGTTTGCAAATCGTCTCTTTCAATGATTACTAAGAAATGCAGCACAGTGTTAATTCAGTTTTCTTTTTAGTATATCAATTTATCCAGGCTCTCTCGTTTTTTTCCATTGTAATAATTACGCCAACCCAAATTCAAATAGTAACTATTTCATTTCAACCGAGTAAGTAGTATGTCATTCTGCAAACCCAACTCTACAAAATAAAACCATAAAACTTTTTCTTGCAATTTTTTTAAGGTCATATCCTATATTTCTCCGACTAAAATGTTTGTGGCAAACTAATATTAGCAAACTTATTGATTGACTGTTTACAATTAACATATGTTCTTCTCTTCACTTTTAATTTCTGACAACAGCCATAATTATTCATAACAATATTTGTTTCCCATGTTAATCTTATGGAGAAATACGAAACTTTAAAGGGCTCCAGGGCCTCAACCTCTCATTATTTCCCTAAAATGAAAGTTTCCTGCACAACTTCAGGTTACCCTCTTTCCAATGACACCAAAAACATGTCAATCGGTTCAGTAGTTTCGGAGGAGTAATTGTCACAAAAATCCTGCTTGCGTATTAAATAAGTACGAGGTGTTAGCCCGTCCTACGTACGGGAATTCAGTAGTCAGTTAAAACCGTGTACAATTCAGATCAGCTAGTTTAAAAAAGACAAAGTTTCTTGCAGTTTTAATGTGAAAAATCATCTTTAAACAAATGTTGTGCGACCAAATATGTTTTTAGTTTTTATGCATTTTAAATCCGAAAATTTTACAATAAAACAGCAATTCTGCAATTTTTACGATGTGAAAAACTTTGAAGTGAGATTTGCAGCCGATTCGCACAGACGCACACTGATTATAAGTAGCATACAGTAGAGAGAGTAATAGCTTTGACTATTAATACAACACTTCTTTATCTTATACAACTTCTGTATCCAATAGTCAAAGGTAATAGTCAATTGAGAAGTGTATAGACCTAGTCAACGATACTACCTTCTATAGCATACCTGCCTCTTCCATAATTATTATCACCACAATGCCACAATACAACTAACTTACTATACACAATTTCCAGT